GAGAAGAAACCTGTTTTCAATGCCTCAATGGGCCAGGCTCTCACTAAACGATTTCACAGGTTTTATCTTCTTCCATTCTATCAACAGCCGTGCAAGGCCGATGTTATTTACCCCTTGTGTGGCTGCAGGTGGGGAGGTTCAAAGGCGTTAAATGACTCGCTCAAGATCACAGCCCTGAATGGCCACGAGGTTTCATTTCCTAAGGAACAAGAGCGTGACCGTGCATCTGTGGGCCTGTGCATAGAAGCGTGCATGGGGAAAGGTTAACCAGTGACTCTGCACGGTTCCCTCAGACATACTGGCTGCAAAAACATCTCCATCATACACATCCAAGATCAGGCAGCTGTAACATTTCAGAGTTCAGAAAATAAGCTCCAAGAATGCAATCAATCAAAGATGACTTCTTCAGTTCATCATCATCCCATCTTGTAGGGATTTTTTTGGAGAGAGGGTCTTGCTCTGTTGCCCAGTCTATAGAGTGCGGTGGCCCGATCACAGCTCACTGCAACCTCAAACTCCTGGGCTCAAGCAATCCTCCTGCCACAGCCTCCAGAGTCCTGGGGATTACAGGCATGAGCCACTGTGCCTGGATTCTTTTTGTTTTAAAATGTTGTCAACTAAACAGAATTTCGAAGTTAAGAAATCTAATTGTGTGCCCTAGGTAATGCTCATGGGTGGCCTGGTGCAGAAGCCACTGTTCCTGGCATCCTAAGAAGTGCCAGCCCAGCCCTGGAGAACTGCAGCTGGACGAAGCCCTGAGCAATGACAATCAGGAGCAGCACAACAGCATGGAGGCCAAGAGAGGACAAAGGAGGACAAAGCCACCATGAGGCCCTGTGGACAACCCTCCAAAGGAGGCGGCCAGAGGCCTTAGAATCGCCTGATTCATGCTCTTGCCTTTAATTCTCCCATGCCGCCAAACTGCACAACTGTCTTTGCCCTTCTTCAACCATTCCTGTTAGAATGCCCCTTAACATCCACTCAATTGTTCCTTTTACAAAGCTCTAAATATGAGCTTTGTATTTGCCAGATACATTTATACTGTACGTGATCAATTCTTCAGCAATGTTAATCGCTTAGGACTGTGTGCCTTCCTCAGATCTGTATCAATATGACGCATAATCACATCTGGTCTATTTACTCCCTTCCAAATGGTCTCCACAGCATGTTTGCCAAGACTAATGCCTGCTCAGCTGTACTCAGTCAAGTGAGGCTACATTATAAAGCTGGGCGATTCTGTAATCAATCAATCGAGAGTTTGATGACTCTCTTTCCTAAAGAGAGAGGCAGCAACATCCCACACTTGCCTCTTCACCACATGAGTCAGGTAAACGCAAGCTGCCCTCTTAAAAATGGGGTCCCTACCTCTTCTAACCGAAGCCACCTGCTCATTAGCTGGCTGACCTCAGGCCCCATCTATTCTTACCTGGCCTCCATTTCTTCCCGGATAAAACAGAGGCGAACTGATTAGAAAGTTCCCAAGTCGGCTGGGACGAAGAGCTGTACAGAACTATGAGTATAAGATACGCCCCAGATGACGTGCCACCAACACGGCCACATGCTGTGCAGTCAGGCTGACCAGCCAGAGCAGGAGTGGGCTGGGCCACCGTGTCAACCCCAGCGGCCACTCTGGAAAAGAGAGACTCTACACAGGGTCCTGTGCTAGTGGCTGTGACTCCACAGGATCCTGTGGAGGATCCCTGACCTTCTCACAGTCTTTGGGGTAGCCTGGAAAACGAGCACGGCTTAACGTTCTGGTGTTCTGCCTGGTCCCAACACCTCACGGTGCACCCCGGGCAGGCCACAGCCTCAGCCAAGAAGGGGTGGCCACATTCCAGTAGGTGGCCTTCCCAGAGCTTGCAAGCGTCATCTCAGGAAGAATGGCCACTGTTCAGCCGAGCAAACCCAATGGCAGAGGCCTCCACTCATGCAAAGACACTCATGCTGTCTTTGCAGTGCCATCTCCACCATTCTCTCCACCTGTGGAGTTCAACTTGATTCCACGCTGCTGTCCTTCCATGATCTGGCCCTAGTAATAAGAGGCAGCTGACCCAAACTTACATAAATTCACTGGGAGTGGAAATATCTTCCTCACTTGCCTAAAGTTCGTTGCTTTGAAATAACCATAACCAGTTTCCATATGGTTATGGAAACTGTTCCAAAAAACCTATGCTCTGTCTAAAGACTCCTGGAAATGTAAATAAAATGAGGAAGCATAAACAGAAAACAATTAACAGTTGATCTTGCGTTCTCTGAAGATCCAAAAAGTGCAGCTGACTCAGCTTCCCAAGATAAGACACAAAGAGGGGAAATGCCACAGGCCTATGCCTCTGCCCACCGTCAGAAGGAGGCGGAGCAAGACGGAGCACACACTTTACTCTTCTTTCCCTGTAAACTACTAGGGAATGGTCTATCCTGATAAGCATCGTCTTTAAACAGACACCAAACATCGCTGGAGACAGACAGCATGGATTCCATGCAGCACAGAACAGAGCCTGCCTTCCCCTCCCCCTGCACTCAACACTCACTGCTAAGCCATTTTGGAGACGTTAGATTCGGTGGAACTTACTAGCAATTAAAATGATATTCGACACCAGAATAAAGTTTTGTCAAACACAGCCACATCCATTTGTTTGTATACTGTCCACGGCTGCTTTTGCACTAAAAGGGCAGCTTGAGTAGCTGTGACAAAGACTACGTGGCCCACAGAGCCTAAAATATCTACTATCTGATCCTTCAGAGAAAAGGTTTGCCACTCCCGTACCACGTGATTTTTTATAATATTTATAGATGCCAGAAGGCTTTGAAATAGCCCCATCCACAGCCACCAAAAATCATCTACCTGACATTCCCACGCCTTGCAGCTGAGCATGTCCTGCAAACACACACACACACGGTACCACACTTCCACCTGGCAGTGCTTCTACCAGGTCAGGAGAGACGAACACATCATCACTGGCCACCGGAACTGAAAACCGAAACGAAAGATGAAGCACAACGCCGCACGCTTGGTCAGCAGGAGTTCCTGTTGCTTTCTTTCTTTATGCTTTCAGGACCACCTGGCAACCAAGAGGCCCACTCCAAGCCACCCACCATCTCTGCCCTCCTGCCTTCCAGCCCTATATGTGTGTCCTTGGGGGGAGTGCCCAGTGTACAACTCGCACAAACGGGATGAACAAGGCAGACTAAACAGAAGTGTCTGCTCAAGCAGGAATTTAAAAGCTAAAGTCTTAGAGGTCCACCCACCACTGGCACACGCTTAACGCAGCCTCTTGGCCGGGTTCCTTTATCTAAAGCACAGCGCCCTCACATGGTGCCGAAGGGAAGGGCAGCCTTGCTGAAAAGCTGGCTCACATGCCATCTGTGAGAGGGCCCAGCGCTCCCTCGGTGAGGATTTTAAATCAACGTTATGCAGATTTCCACCCTCGGCTCCTTCACAGATAGCTCCTCGCTGGAAACTTTACACCACGAAGTATAAACTCTGACCTCTACAGAAACTCACTAAACCGCAGCAAATGGGATTCAGATGTTTCCACGTACAGTACAGTGATGTGACCTAGACTTTAAACGCTTTGGCAAAAACAGGAAAAATGATGTGGGCCTTCCAGTCCCTCCCAGAACATGATACAGCCTTGACCCAAGCCCTGCAGGGATCGGAGCCTTTCTCACTCCTACTCAAGCCTACTCACCCACAGACCACATTCGCTCTACCGGCCCCTCCATGGTCTATTCCACTTTCCTTGTTTCACCAAAGCTGCCAATTTCTCCCAGCTGAGCAAATGAGGAGCACACTCTAATGAGAACTCAGAAAACTCCTAAAAAGAGAACTAGGCTGATCCCAGGAAATGACACCCATAGTTACCCCACAGTGCCAGGAAGAGAGCACTTGGACACCCAGGCTTTCTGGCTTTGCTGCAGATCCTCAAAGACTAGCTGCAGACTATGTGGGTAAGGGACAGAGAACCCAAGATGATAGCACAAAATGAGGTGGGGAAGCAGTTTCTTGTGCCTGGGTAGGACACAAAATAATATCATAAACTGCCTCCGCAGAGGCCGGTCACAACAAAAGATAGAGAAACAACCATGTGTTTCACGCTCTAAGTCAACACCAGACTTTGTCGGGGAAAGCCCATCTGTCGGCCATGTGTGCCCCTTGGGGGTGGGCATGACGGAGAAGCTGAGGAGTGCTCGTCTGGGCACCAGTGTGGCCACGTGATCAAGTGTGAGCACAGCAAGGCAAAGGTACACAAGAAATCCCGTGCCTCTTAGGGTACCTGTCACAGGTGACCCAAATGCAGCAGGGCAGGGTCTTGGAACAGGGAAGCTGCTTCCACAGTAAACAAGCTTCTAGGGGCAGGAACAGGGTCTTACCCATGTAAACACCCCTCAGGCCTGGCTGGGGCGGGTGCCAGACACATGCCTGCTAATGGTACAAGGAAACAAGGAGCGACACGCTCTCTCGCTCGTTTCAACTAAGAAGAGTGGAGCTAACTGTGTCTGTCTGGGGACCCCGAAAACTTCCTTTGCAGGTACAGAAAGAAGATGCAAAAGAAAGGAAGGTGAATGCCCACTCCCCATCTCCCCATCCAAGAACAGATAAGATATACACGGATATGTGCGTTCCCCTGACACACACACCTGTGCAGATGCAGTGTTCTCGCTACACACCTGTGCGCCTGGGGCCCTGACAGTCTCATCCCTGCTACATCTGCGCTCCCCTGAGCCGGCTGCAGCGTGTGTCCCAACGCAACCCCGGCTCGCGCAGGCTCCGCACAGGCTCAGCTCAGCTGGTGGGAAGCGCTGGACTCCGATGCTTCCCATCCCACCCCCTTTGCTCATAGACCATCCAGAAAGTCTGGGAGGTGGGGAGGTAGGGGGTTCCCTCTGGCCCTCCAGGAGGCTGGACTTCCGCCGAGGCTACCCACCCCAACCCTCCACGGGGACCACCCGGGCGCCGCAACAGACCAGACAGGCAGACCCGGAAGGGGCGCGGGCAGTACCAGGCCGCCGGCGGCGCCGCAAGCGCTGAGCGAGACGAGGGAGCCCGGGTGGCCCAGCACGCGTCCCGAGTAGAAGCACAGATCGGCGGGGCGTCCGCGTCGCCCGGCTGCGCCCGCCTCCTCCACCTCAAAGCCTCGGGACAGGAAGCGCAGGTCGCGGCGCAGCTGCAGGTACAGGTCGCGCCCGAAGGCCGGCAGGTGCAGCAGCAGGGCGCGCTCTCCTGGCCGGGTGCGCGGGGCTGCCGGGGGCGCGCGGGGGCGCCGCCGCCGTCGGGGTCCGGGACCTCCGGGCAGCGGTGGCAGGTGCACGTCGTCTGGGCGCACCCGCCACGGGAGCACCACCTCCACGTCGGCCGCCGCGTCGCCGACAGCTGCAGAGAGAGAGGAGACGCGTCAGCGCTGCAGGGCCCGCCCCCGCCCGCCAGCGGCGCGCGGGGTCCAGCCCTGGGACCTAGCCCGGCCAGCTCGGGGCAGGCGCTTCCTTCCCACCCCTCGCCCCGGCACCTCCATGCCGACCAGCGCCTGTGCCTGGCCCGCGCCACCTGGGGAAGGTCTCCGGCGCGGCCGCCCGATCACTCTGAGATCGGCGCCGCAGCAACTGCAAGCGGAGAACCGGCGGCGGCGCGCCTGCCACGGAGCCACCCGAGTCCGGTCCTCCGGGTGCGGCCCGCGCCTCTCCGCCTGGGGCGCTGTCAGCGATCCGCTGCCGGGATGCCTCGGGAGGGCAGAAGGAAGGTGGCCGCGAGAGGCAAGGGCGAAGAAGGCGGGTGGGAGAGGGACAATACCTGCGCCCGGGTCCAGTCCCCAAACCAGCAGCAGCAGCAAGGGCAGGACGAGAGGAGGCAGCAGGGCGCCGTCACACATGGTACTCGGGACGAGCAGCCCCCAGGACCGTGGCGGCGGAGCAGGAGCGCGCGAGGCGGCGGCGCCAGCCGGAGTGCAGCCCTCCAGCCTTTGGAAAAAGTAATTAGCGCTGCGGACAAACCCAACGTGGTAAACCCCAAGCCCCGCCTTCCCCTCGGAAAGCAGGAGCTGATTGGGCTCTCGCTTTCCTCTGCTCCGCCTCCTCCTTCCCTATTGGTTAAGATGGGTCGAAACCAAAGTACGTAGTTAGGTTGTAAGCATTTTCTTACACGTGGTTTCTGGGCAGTAGCTGGGACGCGACACCAGGTGGCGTTCGGGAGCCGACTCGAGCCGCGAAATCCTGCAAGGGCCAGGTGGACGCTGGGCTGGTCTTTAGAGTTTGTCCTCATTTTGGAAATCCTCTCTCAGCCTGCTGTCCAATTTCCCAGGAAGACAGGCCAGAAATCGTCCTGGCCAACCGCTTTTTTACAAAAAATCATATTCTCTCTGCATCTACAGTAAAGTTTTGGTTGTTTGTGGCTGGAAAGACTCCCAGTCCACTTGCCTGCACACCTGGGTTTATGCTTGATGGCTATATCCGAGATGTTTATCCAAACCCCTCACACCTCCCGTGGTCTTGATCTCAAGAAGCCAGTGGAACGGGCATGCCCGCACCCTCTCACAGATTGGAAAACGAAGGAAGAGAGAGCTCAAGGATCTTGCTTAAGTCACCCAGTGCGTTTCTATTAGAGCAAAGGCTGGATTTGGTGGTCCTGACATTGGACTTGGTGCTGCTCACTGCTAACAGCAGGAGCCCACCGAAGGAGGCAAGATGGAATGTTACAGGTTAGAAAACTAGGGCACAATGTGTCAAAGCCTGAACTTGAACCTAAGTCTTCCAGAAACAGAGTGAATTGATTCTTTTCCCACCTGAATATCACTAAGGTCTGCAGGAAAGGTGATTCCTTTGGTTTTCTGAAGAGCATCTTGCAGAAAACAAAAACAAAACAGAATTAACCGAAGCGTAACCATAATGTCTCAGGTTTCCCGTCCTTTCCCTGTCTGCCCATTTCCGTTTTCTCAAAACAGGAAGGTTATAGTTCCCTACTGGACTCTGCTGGACGCCTCAGAATTTAAATTTCATCACAAGATGACATATGGTCAGAAAGAATGCAGAGCACTGTCCAGCTCCCATGAAGTCTAACGAACCCTGAGGGTGTGGCCCTCCACGGGACCTTGCTGCCACTCCGTGCTTGGCTCCTGCAGTTGCTGGGAGCATCTGCACAGGTCCCACTCTGGGCCAGGCTTGGGGCTTTGTTTCTCCCCTCGACTGCATCCAGGTCAACAGCCTCAGGCAGCTGAAGGCTCAGCAGCATTTTCTGGCAGCACAAGAAATCAGGGTGAGCTTCTTAAGTGTAGCTTTTTGGCAAAAACAGCCATCTCGAAGGCCTGCCACTGAAAACCATGCAGTATGGGCCACACAGCCTCACGAGACCAAGTCAGCCTGAAGTAGTCATCATCAACTTGTCAGGTGATGCTCAAATGCTAAAATTAGTCCCTAGAGACAGGAAAACTAAAACAATGGCAATCTACCATTTCATCCCCAGGCTGACCGAAACCTGGAGCTTGGAAATATCACACACTGGGGAGGACACTCTCTTGCCCATGGGTGGGAGTATAAACTGGCACGGCCACTTGGACGAACAACTGGGCAAACTGTGGTAAATGTAAAAATGCATACACTCTACAACTCTGTAATTCCATTCTGGTTAGCTGCTCCAGAGAAACACTGGCACATGTACAAGAATGTTCATCATGGCACCGTATTAAGAGCAAAAAATTGTAAGAACCTGAATGTTTGTCATTAGATAAATGGCTACTAGAACACCAGGCATCATTTAAAAGAAATGCAAAAATCTCATATATGTAACAACATGGACAAATCTCCAAGATCCATTATCAAGTTAAAAAAAAATCAAGTTGCAGAATGATGCACACAAAATGATAATATGTATATAAACACACACAAATATTACAATTATTTTTATAGACTCAGATAAATGTACATAAAATCAAAAAGTCTGGAAGAATACTCACCAAATTTTTTAAAGGTTTGGTGTTCTTTTTATATAATACTGTATGTCGAGGAAAGATACCAGGTCAGGATCTAGTCAGTATAAGTGATACCACTCTAGGTATTTCCAACAGAGAGAATTTAATGCAGAGTATTAATTACAATGGTTGAGAAGGGTAGAAAGAGTAAGAGGGAGAAAGAAGAACTGGAGAAGTAGGTTGAAGCCAGGATGATGTTCAGCCAATATATGCTACTCCTGTCCCTGGGTTGGATTTCAGCCACAGGGGACTGTGCCTACTGCTGCACTATTGAAGACACTGTCATAGTTGTCACAAGTGGCTCTGGATGTGCCAAAGTGGTGCCGCCTTGACCAGGGCCCTGTCCCCATTGCCATGCCAGCGACTTCCAGTGCCTGCTGCCCTGGGCTCTTATGTCTGCCCCTTGCCATCTCGTTTCCTGCCAGGGCCTCCTTTTGGCAGAAACAAGCAGGAATCCTAAGAAAATATAAGGTGATTCTGGTGCAAGAACACTAAACATTTTTTTTTTTAAAAAAAGAAAAGGAAATGTAAGGGAATCAGAGAATGTGGGTTGCAGATTTTCAGTCTCAACAATAAAAAGCAGAACTTAGAAATGGTCATGCAGGGAGGAGACACAGACCCACTAGAGATCTTAATCTGGCCCCTGAGTCTGAATTCCTCTTGCCCCTCATCCTGGGTTCATCAGTCACATTAAAGGCTTGCACTTCCCTGCCTTCAACTTTCTGTTCCACGGCATTTCCCCCATAGCTCTCTGCACTGCCTTTCCTGACCCAAATCCCAGACCCTCCTCAGTCTTGAAACCTTCCCACTGTGCCCTTGGGAGCTGCTGCTCCTTACCCTGGGTCTGTAGTCTCTCCTCTGAGCATTCTGTACTTTCTAACAAAACTCCTTTTTTAATTCAAGGTGACAATAAAATTCTACATTTCTCAGCCTCTTTTTCCCCCTAGGGGCGGTCACGTATCACAGTTCTGGCCACTGTGATAGAGGAAGCTACTAGCTGGAGTCCTAGGAAAGTTCATGTAAGAAGCTTCCTTCAGCGGCTGCACACCCTTTTTCACTGTGTCGCTTCCTCCTTGCTCCTGCCTAGAACTTGCATGTGATAGCTGGAATTCCAGCAGCCAGCTGCCAAGCATGAGGAAGAGCACCATACCCCCAGGGAGCAGAAAGATAGATGACCTCCGATGACATCTTGGAGTCACCATGCCAGCCCTAAGCTGTCTGCCTCTGGACATTTCACTATATGAGAGGAAACTATACTCATGCTTAAGCCATTGCTATTTGGGTTGTGTGTTACATGCAGCCAAAGTCAACCCCTAACATCACATCCCCCACCCGACCCTGGGCTCTAGGCTCCTCAGTTTCCTCCCTTAGTAACCTTCTGCATGCTACCTCAAGCACCCACTCTGGCAGTCACACCCTAGACCTTGTCACCACCCCTAGCTGTTCCACCTTCCATCACTTGAACATCCACCTCTGACTCCAGCTTCCTGGCCTCCCAGCTTGCTCGTCAAATGCTCCTACCTCACAAGGTCTCTCAGTCCACACCTCCCAACCCCCCAGCCTCTCTTCCCTTGACTCCCTCTCCAGCTTACATTCCAGGGCCAATCACTCCAAAGTCACTCTTGCCAATATGCTCAGCACCCTCCCCTACGCCTTTTCACTGTAGTTGTCAGGCAGAACTGGATAAACTCAACTCTCCACTCTCACTGAGCATGTGCCTGAGCTCGGAACACCGCTGGAGCATCCGACAGGGACATCTGCAATCACCTGCTTCACTTGAGCCCTCGCGTCGCCCACCATGCTCAACCCGCTCTTCTTCTCAATGCAACAATGAGATGAAACCTCCTCTCCCTACTCAACTTCAGATTCTTCATCTCTTCCCTCTCTTTTGGCAAAGGATACTCACCCACCTTACAGAGATGACCTCTAGCCCAGGCCTCTTGCCACTGTTTGAATGTTTGTGTCCCTCCAAAGTTCATAAGGAGAGTTAATTCTCATTGTGGTGGTATTAAGAGGTGGGGCTTTTTGAGAAGTAATTAAGCCATGGGAGTCAGTAGCCTTACAAAAGAGGTTCAGAGAGCTTCCTGGTCCTTTTACCCTTCATCTCTTCTGCCATATAAGGACAGAGCCTTTACCCCTCCTTGGAGGATGTAGCGACAAAGTGCCATCTTGGAAGCAGAGAGCAAGCCCTTACCAGACACAGAACCTGCTGGCACCTTGATCTTGGATTTCCCAGCCTCCAGAACTGTGAGAAATAAATTTCTATTATTTAGAAATTACCCAGTATAAGATATCTTGTTATAGCATCGGACATATACCAAGACACACTTCCTCCTGGCTCCAGACCCTACATCCAGCTGCCCAGTTGACCATTTCACGGCAAGATCATGGAATGTGGTCCAGTTTCAAGACTAGATGAGAATGATGACTTGGACTTTGTCGAAGTCTGCTTGTGTTTTGGTTTGACCCTGAATCAGGAAATCAGCAGTGTGGAAGGTGGAAGGGTCACTGGACACTGATGTCATTTGGTACATGTTGCACTTGTGTGGTTAAGCCTATTTGGGTAAGCTGCTATAGCCTGGATTTAGTTGCACGCAGCCCAAGCACATGCATGATGTAATGTCCTCAGACTATCCCCCAGAGTACTGCTCCTGCCTGAGCTCCTGATGAGGACTGGCCAGCCAGAAGTCAGGGTCAAATCCAACTCCAGGATCTGAAGTAGCTATTCCCTGATGGTGAGTAAGGCCAACGCCTCACACTGTGACCAAGCACAGAACAGAGCAAGGCTGGCATGTGCTTCTCAAAATCATGGAACCTAAACAGCAGCCTCTGCTGGCGTTGATGGCAACTTACTAGCAGAGAAACCATTTTCCTTTTTTGGAGGAGAGTTTTAAGTTGGCTTCAAATGC